CGTCAAGTGCTCGCGAGAACAGATGTTCACGTTGTACATCTCACGATAAATCTTGTTTCTCTAAATCTGAAATTTCCGGACACTAGTCGCGTGCCTGCTCCTGATGCGTGCAATGTCAGCAAATCGAAGCCGATGACCCAATGATCGCCTTAAAACGACCTTGCTATACCGCTGCTACCGAATCGTTGTTATACGGCTGACTGAAAGGATTCAAACTTACTTAAAGACCTGCCGTCTCAATCGAGTATCAAGAGATGGGACAGCACGTGGCTACGTGTAAAAGTCATTGAGTGGCTAATCGCCAAGCCAATGGTTCGATCCCTCGACTGTCGGCGGCCCCACATATTTCTTTAACAATAGGAGCGGACGTTTTGAGAAATTCGCAAAGGATTAAGTGCTTAAGCCGGCAAAGAGCAAATTCAAAAGACCGCAAACAAATGAAAGAATTATGAGATATTTACATTAGAAATCGTCGTTTTGAATAAACGAGAAATTTAATTAAAAAAAGATAGCTAGTTTTCTATTCCTGATGAACTAGTGCAAATTTTTTTATAATAAACGAGAAATTTAATTAAAAAAAGATAGCTAGTTTTCTATTCCTGATGAACTAGTGCAAATTTTTTTATGTGTAGTACTTAATTAGAAACAAATTCTGCTAAAGCGAGAGAATGCGCTTCTCAAGCGTTCGTCTAAAAAAAAATTATTATTGTAAATTTATTTATGTGTTCAATTAATAGTAATATATTTCTCGTATAATATTTAATATTTCCTTATATTATATTTTTGATAGAAAGCATTCGAATTTTCTTTAAATATATGGAACAACATGTTAAAAATTAAATGCCAATAATTAAAAAAACTTTATATTTATTTATTAATGTTAAAAAATATTCCTAGAAACAAAAAAAATAATAACGGCTTAAGACATGCTGACAAATCTTTAACATTTTTTTTAAACGAACAGAAGTGAATCTGCGGATATATGCAGTATATAGCGAGTAGTTCTTCAATAAATTTAGAATTTTTACCTAAATTTAAAATTTAGACCCCTTGAAAAACGTATTGCTTTATTTTAAAAACTTATGTTACTTTTATGTTTAATATCTTTTTTATTTTTTAATGTCAGTATATACATCCATAATGTTAAAGTGTCAATTTTGTTCTAATTTCTTTTCTAAAAAATATTTAAAATCACTTATGCAATTTGAGCATCATGCATATTTGAATTCTATCCAATATGTTTGTCAATTTAAAAATTGTAATCGTTCCTACTCACATAACAAAACACTTAATAAGCATAAAAGACGTTGCAAACATTTTGAAAAAGAAGAAACTATTTTTAATAATGAAATAGAATTTGAATCTGAAATACAAACGTCAAAATTGAACAAAACATGTCTGAAAGTAGTAAATATTTCTAATGATAAAACCGAATCTGAAAACAATAATATAGTTTTTAATAAAGACTTTTCATTTAGAAACATTGAAGCTACACAAAATGAACTTTGTATACTTGCACTGAAAATGATTTCTTCACTACATTTAGATGCTACATTATCTCGAATTCAAATTGATCGAATTGCACATATATTTCATTTATTTCTTAACTCAAACTATGTAAATGATTTAAAAAACTGTATATCTCTTATGGAAACAAATTCGAATCATACAATAGAAAAATTTAAACTATTGCAAAATGTTTTCAGCGATCTTGATACTGAACATAAACGAAACAAACTATTAATTAATCTTGGATATTATATTAAACCTAAACGAATATTCTTTGGAATTATGGATGTAAGAAATAATAATGTATTAAAAACTGAAAATGTAATGATATGAACAATTGATATCATTAAGAAAATTATTAAAATCGTTTTTCGAAATAGATGATATATTTGAAAAAACTTGCAAGTATATATATTGACATATTAATTAAGGATGATAATAATGAAATTTATAATATTATACAATCTGATTTCTGAAAATTAAAAATCTCAAATAGTACATCGATAACAATTCCTTTATTTTTATACAAAGATGCTTTTGAAATAGGAAATCTACTTGGATCACATCCTGGTATATATTGTAACATACCTAGGTATAAGTACCTAGGTACAGTATATAGGTACTCTAACTAGTACCTAACTGCATTATCTAGGTTCTTACAGGAGAAGATACCTCTTATTTGTATCTGGGTACTTTTTGTAAGGTACCTTTTAAATTTAGATACGTAGGATACAAGGAATTTCTCTATAGAATTGTCATTAGAAGCATTTCATCGTTTCATCGGAATAAATCAGCTTAGTGAGACAACTTCTAGTGATTCAAGAATATGATTCGTTCTTTAATATGGAAATTGGCGGAACTGATTTGTTTGAGACAGCAGAAAGTGGTTTGAAGTCGAAAGCGAGAGTATAGAGAAGAAATAAGTCCTGTATCCGTTCTCGATTTGTGTCGTGATTGTCCACCCAACTAGAGGGCGCTCTTAATCTGATTCAAAGAAAAACGGTCTACAATTGTTGGCCAACGCTTTTACATACGCCAATTCTAGCTTATTTTACATCTTTGGCTTCATTTGATACAGTTCAAGTTTTAGCTTTGCGTTACATTTTTAATTCCAATCTGATTAGTTATTACATAGATAAATACTCTAAAATCTCCTTGGATTGCTGCGCTGAAGTTTCCCGGTAATTTTTAGTGGACAAGATTTCTAAAACGTCCCAACAAATTTGATCCAAGAAATTTGGAGATAAAGCAAAGAAAACAATTCCGTCAAAAACTCTTTGTTACTGATTCAACGGAAAACTAAGATACCGTTGAAGATAGAGGCAACTCGCAAACCTCATCGCCTTGTTATTTTTGACAGAATCAATCTTTTGACACTGGTGCTGACATTTCTTTGCTTCCCAAGAAAATATTTACAAACCGTTATCAACCAATTTAAAACTTTTTGCTGCTAAAACACATGGAACTTATGGATCTAAATTGTTACTTGGTCTCAAGAATTTTCCGTTGGAATTTTGCGTGGCGGACATAAACTCCCATTTTAGGGAGATTTCCTCGAACATAATCTCCTGTAGATAAAAACAAACGTCTAATTGATTCCTTATTTAAAAACTCATGATTTTGCAATTATCAAGTATCTCCAGTTCTTCTTTTCACAAGATTAGCAGAATTTCAAGGACTTACTCATTTGCCCCTCTTTCATCGTAAACTCACATGGAATTGAAAATTGTTACGGAGGTCCTCCGAAATTTGCAATTCCCAGAATCTGCGTTAAAGAAGAATTCAAATTCATGATCCAAGGTATTTGTAGATCATGCATACCATTTACATACCAAAAAAGGATGTATGGAGACTTTGTTTATCGTGGAAATTCGGTCACTGTCCCTGATCGATATCCATTGCTCACATACAGGATTTCATGCGGAGCTTAAAGAATATCTTTTCTAAGATTGATATGGTTAAAGCGTACTATCAAGTACCCGTTGCAAGATATTCCTAAGACCGCTGTAACTACACCTTTTGGACTTTTCGAATTTTTGGTTATGCCTTTTGGTCTTCGTAACGCAGCTCAAACTTTTCAGAGGTTTATGAATATATTGTTAAATGATTTAGATTTTGCATTTTGCTATCTTGATGATATTCTCATAGCTTCTAGAGATGAGTCAGAACACATAGCTCATTTGCGGATTGTTTTTGATCGTCTACAGAAAGCTGGATTGTCACTTAATGTTTCCAAATGTCTTTTTGGTCAAAAAGAAATTACTTTTCTCGGATATCTTGTCTCTAATCAAGGAATCAAACCTACAGAACAAAAAGTCAAATCAATTATCGACTATCCCAAACCTAAGACAATACATGATTTAAGAAGATTTATTGGTATTATTAATTATTATCGTCGTTGCCTTAAAAACGCAGCTGAACATCAAGCATTACTTACAAACTTTTTGAAGGACAGTCGCAAGAGAGATAGGAGAACTATTCCTTGGTCTATGGAGACAGAAGCAGCTTTTCAGAATTGCAAAGAAGAACTTCTCCGTGTGACTACTCTCTCTCATCCTGCTCCTCAAGTTCCTTTGATTCTTACTTGTGATGCTTCTGATTTCGCTGTAGGAGCATCACTTGAACAATCAATTGAAAATGTCAATAAACCAATTGCATTCTTTTCTAAAAAACTTGATAAAACTCAAAAGAACTACAGTACTTACGATAGAGAACTTTTAAGCATTTATTTAGCAATTAAATATTTCAGATATTTGCTTGAGGGACGACAACTCATTATTAGGACAGATCACAAACCTTTAATTTATGCTTTTCTTCAGAAACCTGACAAAGCTTCACCTAGACAAATTAGGCAACTGGATCTTATTGCTCAATTCTCTACTAATATTGTCCACATTTCAGGCAAGTTAAATTCTGTAGCTGATGCTTTATCAAGAATTGAATCAGTTTCAATGCCAATCATTGTCTCTCTGGAAGAATTAGCAGAATTTCAAAAGGATGATGAAGAACTTCAAGATCTCCTTTCTTTGAACTCTTCACTTCAATTAAGGAAACTTATGCTTACTGGTTCATCTGTACCTATATATTGTGACTGTTCCTCTGAGTTAATTCGTCCATACGTTCCTAAACCTCTTCGTAAGAGAATTTTTGATGTAGTTCATGGCCTCGCACATCCCAGCGGTAGAACTACAGCTAAACAACTTCTACAGAAATTTATTTGGCCGTCATTGAATAAAGACGTTAAAGAGTGGTCTCGCTCTTGCCTACCTTGTCAACGTTCCAAAATTTCAAGACATACAAAAAATGTCCCTGTTAGAATTGCGGTTCCTGATCAGCGTTTTCAACATGTTCATTTGGATTTAATAGGCCCTCTTCCTTCTTGTCAAGATTTCCGTTATTGCTTAACAATAATAGATCGATTCTCGAGGTGGCCTGAAGCTATTCCACTTAAAGAAATAACTGCTGAAACAGTTTCGACAGCTTTTTATTCTCATTGGGTGGCTAGATATGGATCTCCTATAACTATTACTACAGATCAAGGCCCACAATTTGAAGCATCTCTCTTTAAAGCATTAACTAATTTGATTGGATGTGATCGCAAGAGAACTTCTGCTTATCATCCAGCTTCAAACGGAATTCTGGAGAGATGGCATAGGACTGTTAAGACTGCAATTATGTGTCATCAGACGAAGAATTGGTTGGAATCTTTACCTACTGTTCTTCTTGGTCTTCGTTCGTGTTTCAAAGAAGATTTGAAAACTTCACCTGCTGAATTACTCTATGGAACTACTCTTCGGATTCCTGGTGAATTCTTTATTGAGGAAGATTTTCCAGCAGATCCTGAAATATTTTTAGAAAAACATAGAATACATATGAGGAATATTAGATCTTCTCCTACCCATCATCACTCCAAAAAATCACCTTTTGTACACAAAAATCTTTACGATTGTACTCATGTTTGGCTTCGTGAAGATGCTGTTAAGAAATCTCTTCAAGCACCTTATTCTGGTCCTTTTCTTGTTAACAAACGAATTTCTGATTTTTTGTTTACTATTGACATTTCAGGAAAATTGGTCAACGTCTCAACGGAACGTCTGAAACCAGCCTTTTTTCCCAAGGAAGATTCTTCTGTTCTTCATTCATCCTCTTCGAGTACTTCGTCTACATCTACATCTACAACCACATCTGTTGTACCATCAGTTGTACCTGCAGTTCCTACAACCACATCAGTCATGGATGATCATAGTACTTCTTCTACTGCTTCTTTCGGAAAACCACTACGAACTTACCCAGCTAAGAAGAAAGTCCATTTCGCAACGTAGTCGTCGCTTGGGGGGGAGTACTGTGGCGTTACTGCAGCATTAACTATAGCATTTTTACATCTACACTTACACCACATATACACTTACACCTTATACGTTTTTACACCTTCGTTACTATGTTACAGACCATTTGTTTATTAAACAAATACATCTTTTATTGCTTTCACTTTTTATTGTAATTTCTCATTGATAACACGTATTAATAAAAGCTCTTTAAAAAAGTTATCGTTTGTGGACAAATATTACTACAATATCATGCAGATGATTCGAAATTGTTTCCAAAAGAAAAAATTTATTCACATTTAATTAAAGAATTAAAGATTCTAGAATCAAAAGGTATTCAATTAATAATAGAATCTAAAAATATTCAAGTATATTTTAAACTTGCATTAATTATAGGTGATAATTTAGGATTACATAGTATTTTGGGATTTACTGAAAGTTTTTCTGCGTACAAATGCTGCCGATTTTGTAAAGTATCGAAAGATGTATCTCGAAAGTTATGCAATGAAGATGTAAATGCGTTGCGCGATAAAGTAAATTATGCAGAAGATGTAGCAATAAATAACGTAACTATTTCGGGTATAAAAGAAAATTGTGTATTCAATGTTTTATCAAGTTTTCATGCAGTTGAAAATTATAGCATTGATATTATGCATGATTTATTGGAAGGCGTATGTATATATAAAATGAGTCATATTTTGCATTATTTTATTGTAATAGAACAGTATTTTACTTTAGATACTTTAAACTGGCGGTTGCAATTTTTTAATTTTGATCCGATGTTAAACCGCCCTCCTACAATTTCGAAATTACAATTACTAAAAAAATCTATTAAAATGTCTGCTTCTGAAATGCTTAATTTTGTATTAAATGCTGGTTTAGTATTTGGTGATCTTGTAACTAATTCTAATGACAGTCATTGGAAACTTTATATATTATTTCGAAAAATTCTTTCTATTACACTTCAATACAGCGTTACTAAATCGACAGCAGATTTACTAGAAAACTTGATTAATGAACACCATGTGTTATACATCAAATTGTTTGGAGAAATTTTAAAACCTAAGCATCATCTAATGTTGCATTATCCTCAAATTATGAAATTGTTGGACCGCTCCGTTCTCTATGGTCAATGAGATTTGAAGCTAAACATCGTCCCTTAAAACAATATGCTCGTGCAATTAGTAGTAGGAAAAACATATGTTATAGTATTGCTGTTAAACAACAAATAATGCTAAGCAATTTATTAATAAATTTGCAATCGAATAATTTACCATATGTTACATATAAAACAAGCAATTCATTAGTTTGTCAGAATTATCGTTTATTAAAAAATTATAAAAATTGTACTTAAGTAAAAAGTGTTAGTTTTGGAAACATAGTGCTTTTAAAAGAGGATCAATTATCTTAATAGAAATTATTGATGAGAACTATCCTGTATTTGGAGAAATTGCAGATATTTTTTAAATTGATCACCGTCATGTTTCAGTGCTACTGTCAAATATATAACGTACTTTGATAATAATTATCAAGCTTATGTATAATATGTGACGACCCGTTTTGTCGTCACTAGAAGCCGCGCAAGCGCGAGGCCGACCGTCCGCCCGCGCTCATATAAACGGCCCCTGTCGGGGCCACCACACGTCGAACACGTGGGAATTTGCCTTTTCGCCCCACCCGACCGAACCGCCCCACTCCAAGCTAGTTGGAGGGGGCTGACCGACGGGTATATAAAGCGGCGCAGCCGAGACTTCGGGACCAGTCCCGTCCTGGTCTCTTGAGCGTACTCAAGGACCACTCCTCACCTCCTAACCATCCCGGGCGACGAGCGTTCTCGTCGGGCAGGCCGAGCGTCCTCGGTCACCGGATCCTCTCCGAACATCACCCCGGTCGACGAGCGTTCTCGTCGGGCAGGCCGAGCGTCCTCGGTCACCGGATCCTCTCCGAACATCACCCCGGTCGACGAGCGTTCTCGTCGGGCAGGCCGAGCGTCCTCGGTCACCGGATCCTCTCCGAACATCACCCCGGTCGACGAGCGTTCTCGTCGGGCAGGCCGAGCATTCTCGGTCTCCGGATCCTCTCCGAACATCACCCCGGTCGACGAGCGTTCTCGTCGGGCAGGCCGAGCATTCTCGGTCTCCGGATCCTCTCCGAACATCACCCCGGTCGACGAGCGTTCTCGTCGGGCAGGCCGAGCGTCCTCGGTCACCGGATCCTCTCCGAACAGCACCCCGGTCGACGAGCGTTCTCGTCGGGCAGGCCGAGCATTCTCGGTCTCCGGATCCTCTCCGAACATCACCCCGGTCGACGAGCGTTCTCGTCGGGTAGGCCGAGCATTCTCGGTCTCCGGATCCTCTCCGAACATCACCCCGGTCGACGAGCGTTCTCGTCGGGCAGGCCGAGCGTCCTCGGGCACCGGATCCACTCCAAACATCACCCCGGCCGACGAGCGTTCTCGTCGGGAAGGCCGAGTTTCCTCGGTCACCGGATCCTCCGAGAGCCACCGACATCTTGCGGAGCTCGCCCTTCTCAGGGCGCCCGAATCCAAGGCGGTTTACGGAGCTCGCCCTTTTCAGGGCGCTCGTATCCACGCCGCGTTGGGTAAATTTCGTCCGCCGCGCTACTATCTTAGTTATAAGTCGTGTCCGCGTCCGTATGATTTGGTCGCGTTTCACCCGTCGCGTTATTATTTGTAAACCTTGGTTATAAGTCGTGCCCGCGTCCGTATGATTTGGTCGCGTTTCACCCGTCGCGTTATTATTTGTAAACCTTAGTTATAAGTCGTGTCCGCGTCCGTATGATTTGGTCGCGCGTTCGTCCGTTGCATTATTTGTATTCCTTAGTTATAAATCGTGTCCGCGTCCGTATAAGTTGGTCGCGGTCCGCACTTCCTGCGATTCCCCTCTGTACGCGTAGACTAGATAATAAGCCAACTCTTGAAGGGCGGCTTCAATAAACTCTGTTTTTACCAGAACGATTGGCGTGGTTATTGCGAACCTGAGTCTCCCCCTCTTCCCGAATCCTGGCACCGACGAGCCGATCCGTGGCGTCGGGAAAGGAGCCCCGTTACATGGCGCCCGAACAGGGACCTGACTCGACCGTCTGAGACTCCGGTTCGCAATCCATATGCTTGGGTGGATTTACCACCTAGACAAAGAGAAAGCCGCCCGTTATCTCGCCGACCGCGACCTCGACCCGGAAGGGAGATTAGTCGACCTCCGCCGCCGCATCAGAAACCACGTGATGGCTACCCACGCCGACACCGGAGCGTCCGTAACACTCCAAGTACCCAGCCGCGAAGACCGTTACCGGAGTGCACGAGGAACCCCCGAACCACCCGAAGCCGACCCGGCGAAGGCCCTTAACCAGATACGCAAGTGGGGCTGCCATTTCGAGGGTAAAGACCCCCTCGCGTTCCTCGAGCATCTAGAGGAACTCAGTGTGGCCTATGGTCTGGAAGACCACCATCTCTTAATCGGGCTAGCCGAGCTGCTAAAAGGCGAGGCCCTCCTGTGGTGGAGGAACACCAGAGAACAGTGGTCCACCTGGACCGAATTCCGAAAAGATTTCCTCGCCCAATACCTGTCGCCCGGGTATAAGCGACAATTGCGGCGAGAAATACAAGGCCGGCGACAAAAGCCAGGGGAGGCTTTTACTCGATACGCCACCGCCGTGCAAACCATGATGCGTCGGGCCGGCGGTTACACCCGCAGGGACCAGCTCGAACAGCTGTACGAAAACGCTGACCCAGAGCTCCAGCTATACATTCGGTTAGACGAGCTGCACACCGTCTCCGAACTATGTAGCCGCGCCGCTGAGTGGGAGGAGATCCACCGGCGCCGTCAGGAACAACGTCGCGAGGTCTCCAGATCTACCGAGGCAAATCTCGCTGCAGCCACATATGACCGCTCGAACTGCTGCTGGCGGTGCAAGCAGCGAGGACACACCCGACTCGATTGCCGCCGCCCAGCACGAAAGTTCTGTTCACAGTGCGGGAAGGATGGCGTTCTAACACGGGACTGCCATCCTCCGGCGGGAAACGGCCAGCGGGTCGGAACCGAGGAGGCCACCGCCCGACCCGCGTCCAGTTAGAGTACACGCCACGGCCGCACCTATTAGTCCGGATCCGCCGACTCACCGCCTGGGCGCTTCTCGATTCCGGATCGGAGGTGTCCTTCATAAACGCCACCATGGCCGACCGCCTGTCCGAACACGGCCTCCAGATCCAGCCATCCGAAGAACCGGTCAACCTGGCCGACGGCTCCAGGGCATCCACCTCCGGCTCAGTCCGACTCGCCCTCCGGATCGGCCCTCGCTCTGTCCGCCACCGTTTCCAGGTCTTGGATAACCTTAGCAGCGAGGTCCTCATCGGGGTCGACCTGTGGGCTCGATTACGCCTCACCCTGCCGCCTCCGCCACCCGATCGGCCGAAAGAGACGGCCCCAATCTATTTGGCAACTATCCACGGCCGATTATCAGCCGGGATCTCTCCACGTTCGCCCGAAGAGGACCAGCGCTTCCGGCAGTTTCTGGACACCGAGCTTCGGTTATTCGAATCCGTGCGGGGACCCACCGACCGCGCCGAACACCGGATCAGACTACGACCCGGGGCCCCGATAAAACAGCGGTACCGACCGCGTAATCCAGCCATGCAAGCCGTCATCGATAGCGAGGTTAACAAGATGCTAGACGCCGGGGTGATCGAGCCCTCCGGCAGTGCCTGGAGTTCCCCCGTGGTCCTCGTAAAAAAGAAAGATGGGGGCCACCGGTTCTGCGTTGATTACCGCAAACTGAACCAAGCTTCTGATAAGGACGCCTACCCACTGCCGCACATCCTCGCTACGCTCGACAAGCTCCGTGGGGCCCAGTATCTATCTACATTGGACTTGAAAGACGGATATTGGCAGGTGCCACTAGACTCGGCCAGCCGCCCCGCCACCGCCTTTACGATTCCCGGGCGAGGACTCTATCAATTTAGAGTCATGCCCTTTGGGTTGCACTCAGCACCGGCCACGTTCCAGCGGTTGCTGGACAGCGTCCTCGGCCCAGAATTGGAGCCCAATGTATTGGTCTATCTCGACGACATCATCGTAGTCAGTCCTTCATTAGAGGCTCATATGGAACACCTGGCCGAAGTCTTCAGACGGCTACGACAAGCGCGCCTCCGCCTCAACCCACAGAAGTGCCACTTCTGTTGCAGTCGCCTCAAATACTTGGGGCATATAGTGGACAAAGACGGCATTCGAACTGACCCAGATAAGGTCAGTGCAGTGGCCGCCTGGACAGCACCTACCACTGTCCGTCAAGTGCGCCAATTCCTTGGAGTCGCCTCCTGGTACCGTCGCTTTGTACCAGACTTTTCCGCCACCGCCGCACCATTGACACGCCTGACCCATAAAAGGGCACGCTTTACTTGGGGGCCGGAGGAAGAGAAGGCGTTCGACGAGCTGAAGCGGGCACTCACCACCGCGCCGGTTCTGGCCTGTCCCGACTTCAGCCGACCGTTTACCCTCCAGACCGACGCCAGCGCTTGCGGGCTCGGGGCTGTACTCACCCAAGAACTGCCCGAAGGCGAACGCGTCATTGCCTACGCCAGTCGCACCCTAAATAACGCCGAAAGAAACTACAGCGCTACAGAATTGGAGTGCCTGGCGGTGGTTTGGGGAATTCGCCGAATGCGCGACTATCTAGAGGGCTATCACTTCACGGTCGTCACCGATCACCAGTCGCTCCGATGGTTGCAACGTTTGGAGGCTCCCACCGGCCGCCTAGGGAGATGGGTGTTCGAGCTCCAGCAGTACGATTACGAGATTCAATATAGAAAAGGAAAACTGAACATCGTAGCCGACGCTCTCTCCCGTCAACCCGAGGCCTGTGTCCTCCAGACCGCCCCAGATTGTCGGTGGTACCGTCGCATGTATCGCGAGGTGCAACAACACCCGGCCGACCATGCGGACTACCGGATACAGAACCGCCGGCTATTTCGGCACTTGCTGCACGATCTCAACTTTCACGACTCGCCCAGTGAGGAGCAATGGAAGCAATGCGTCCCGAGGCCCCAACGCGCGGAAATACTACGCCGGCTACATGACGACCCGACCGCCGGACACTTCGGAATCACAAAGACCATCGCACGGGTGGCCCGCTTATATTATTGGCCAGGAATGTTCCGCGACGTCACTCGATACGTCCGTGACTGCCGGAACTGCGCCACCCATAAAGCCGCACAAACCCTGCCAGCCGGGAAACTTCGGGCCACCAATGTCACGCATCCGTGGCAACAAGTCTCGATTGACCTGGTCGGACCATTGCCACGGTCGACCAGTGGGCATACCTGGCTGCTAACCATGCAGGATCGGTTCTCAAAGTGGGTGGAGATGACACCACTCCGCCAGGCCACCGCCGCCAACGTCACACGAGAAGTCGCCGGGCGCATAATATATCGCCATGGTTGCCCGGACACCATCATCTCTGATAACGGGACTCAGTTGCGATCGCACCAGCTCGAAGGGTTGTTAAGATCCTTCGGGATCAATCACCAGACCGCTCCCGCCTACGCCCCACAGTGCAACCCGGTCGAGAGAGCCAACCGCACCATAAAAACTATGGTGGCGCAATACGTGGAGGGCCGGCACCGCCGCTGGGATGAGCACATCCCCCAGCTCCAGTTTGCTTTCAATACCGCGCGGCAAGAATCCACGGGATATACCCCGGCCTTCCTGATATACGGCCGGGAGCTACAGTCGCCGTACCCTGACGACCGACGTCCGGCAACCGCCAACGCCGCCCCCGGAGCAGTCCGACGCCGCCTCGAAGACGCCTACGAAATCGTCAGGATCAACCTGGCTCGCGCGTTCCAACACCAGCAGCGAAATTACGACTTGCGCAGGCGTGACTGGCGTCCAAAAATTGGGGACCGGGTGTGGAAGAAGGAACACCCGCTATCGAACAAAGAGCGGGGCTTTAATGCCAAGCTGGCACCAAGATTTGGTGGCCCGATGACGGTTGGCCGCATCATCTCCCCCGTCATCATGGACCTGAAGGACGACCGAGGTCGGTGGCACCGACATGTCCACGTCCGAGATTTGAAGCCAGCCTCAGAACCGCCGCCCGCGGACGAACCGTAGGAGGGCACTCTTCATGGCCCGCGCTCTTCCGCTACACGTTCGCGATTCCCCGACCGAGCACCGAGAGCGGCACTCTTCAGGGTCCGCGCTTTCTTTTCGTGTGGCTGTCCGGCCGAACACCGAGAGCGGCACTCGTCAGGGTCCGCGCTTTTTCGCTACACGTTCGCGAGCTCCCGACCGAACACCGAGAGCGGCACTCGTCAGGGTCCGCGCTTTTTCGCTACACGTTCGCGATTTCCCGACCGAGCACCGAGAGCGGCACTCTTCATGGTCCGCGCTTTTTTTCGTGTGGCTGTCCGGCCGAACACCGAGAGCGGCACTCTCCACGGTCCGCGCTATACTCCGGAGAGGTATAAAAGACGGGCGCTCTCAGCCCCGAGTCTATCCTCGCCACGATGGGAAGCACAAAAGCTGACCAGTGTCAAGGAGACCAACCGTCCGATTCCGGGCGAGACAATCCGTCCGTTTCCGGACGAAACAACCCGTCCGTCTCCGGACGAACCGACCGGCCGGTGCCTCGGGTGGGGACCTACATCCAACGGTCCGACGTGGAACAACGGAGCCGGAAAATGGCGTTTCTCGCAACACCCCCGCCACCCCCGAGCCACCGCCGACGACCACCGGTCCTCTCGGACTCGCCAGCCTCCGCCGTCATCACCATCGCCGCCGCCACCAAGCCTACAACGACACCGACCGACGCACGCCGCCCAGCCCGACCACCATCACGACCGACACATCGATCAACGCATCATGCCACCGCGCGCCAACCGGCGCCCTCCACGGCCGGGTTAACGGCCACCGTGCGGCGACCGATGCCTCCTGGAGCGGGAGGCCAGCCAGCATTGAGCACCGCCGGGCGACCAGCTACAAAGTCGCGCCAACCCCCGACCGGCACACCTCGGTCGGCGCCATCAGACGCGCGCGAAGCGGATAACCCGACAGTCGAGCCAACGACGATCTCACCGTCCTCGCACGGTGACGGCAGACGATCAGACGCCGCGTGCCGATCGACCACGCGTCCACCGGCACCCTCCACCGCCGTGCCGCCGACCATCGCGCAACGACCGGCGCCCCCTACAGCGGTGGGCCAACCGCACCCCGTGCAGGTTACCCTGGGGAACGGACGAACGGTCGACGTTCCGTTCTACGCCGCCACCATCTCGCGGCGATATAAAGTGCGCACCCCGGACGGCCGCTGGATCATCCGATTCAATCGGCGTGGTCAGCCACGGATGATCCGCCAACTGCCTCACCCCCCGTAAAAAGGGAGGGTGATGTGACGACCCGTTTTGTCGTCACTAGAAGCCGCGCAAGCGCGAGGCCGACCGTCCGCCCGCGCTCATATAAACGGCCCCTGTCGGGGCCACCACACGTCGAACACGTGGGAATTTGCCTTTTCGCCCCACCCGACCGAACCGCCCCACTCCAAGCTAGTTGGAGGGGGCTGACCGACGGGTATATAAAGCGGCGCAGCCGAGACTTCGGGACCAGTCCCGTCCTGGTCTCTTGAGCGTACTCAAGGACCACTCCTCACCTCCTAACCATCCCGGGCGACGAGCGTTCTCGTCGGGCAGGCCGAGCGTCCTCGGTCACCGGATCCTCTCCGAACATCACCCCGGTCGACGAGCGTTCTCGTCGGGCAGGCCGAGCGTCCTCGGTCACCGGATCCTCTCCGAACATCACCCCGGTCGACGAGCGTTCTCGTCGGGCAGGCCGAGCGTCCTCGGTCACCGGATCCTCTCCGAACATCACCCCGGTCGACGAGCGTTCTCGTCGGGCAGGCCGAGCATTCTCGGTCTCCGGATCCTCTCCGAACATCACCCCGGTCGACGAGCGTTCTCGTCGGGTAGGCCGAGCATTCTCGGTCTCCGGATCCTCTCCGAACATCACCCCGGTCGACGAGCGTTCTCGTCGGGCAGGCCGAGCGTCCTCGGTCACCGGATCCTCTCCGAACAGCACCCCGGTCGACGAGCGTTCTCGTCGGGCAGGCCGAGCATTCTCGGTCTCCGGATCCTCTCCGAACATCACCCCGGTCGACGAGCGTTCTCGTCGGGTAGGCCGAGCATTCTCGGTCTCCGGATCCTCTCCGAACATCACCCCGGTCGACGAGCGTTCTCGTCGGGCAGGCCGAGCGTCCTCGGGCACCGGATCCACTCCAAACATCACCCCGGCCGACGAGCGTTCTCGTCGGGAAGGCCGAGTTTCCTCGGTCACCGGATCCTCCGAGAGCCACCGACATTTTGCGGAGCTCGCCCTTCTCAGGGCGCCCGAATCCAAGGCGGTTTACGGAGCTCGCCCTTTTCAGGGCGCTCGTATCCACGCCGCGTTGGGTAAATTTCGTCCGCCGCGCTACTATCTTAGTTATAAGTCGTGTCCGCGTCCGTATGATTTGGTCGCGTTTCACCCGTCGCGTTATTATTTGTAAACCTTGGTTATAAGTCGTGCCCGCGTCCGTATGATTTGGTCGCGTTTCGCCCGTCGCGTTATTATTTGTAAACCTTGGTTATAAGTCGTGTCCGCGTCCGTATGATTTGGTCACGTTTCGTCCGTTGCGTTATTTGTATTCCTTAGTTATAAATCGTGTCCGCGTCCGTATAAGTTAGTCGCGGTCCGCACTTCCTGCGATTCCCCTCTGTACGCGTAGACTAGATAATAAGCCAACTCTTGAAGGGCGGCTTCAATAAACTCTGTTTTTACCAGAACGATTGGCGTGGTTATTGCGAACCTGAGTCTCCCCCTCTTCCCGAATCCTGGCACCGACGAGCCGATCCGTGGCGTCGGGAAAGGAGCCCCGTTACACTTCCAGCAAACTTTATTTCGTGTGAAGTGTATTTTTAATTAAATCTTTGCGAAAGATGAGAAGATGAAAATTCAAACTATGTTACATGGTTAATACAAAGACAAGATTATACACATACATGTATTTGTATCCTGCTGGCATAAGGTTATAGAAGTTGATTGAGATTGAAAAATAATAATGAAAATAAAAAAAATAAAGACACATGTATTTGTATCGTGCTGGCATAAAGTTATAAAAGTTAATTGAGATTGAAAAATAATAATAAAAATAATTAAAAAAAGGAAATATTCAATCATCATTTAAAAGCATATTTGAAATCTGTAGAATAAACAGTTTTTGCAAAAAATGTGGAGCATTTGAGCTCTAGTAAGTCTAAAAATAAATGTAAACATCAATTAATAATAACTGATGTTATATATATATTATATATGTGACGACCCGTTTTGTCGTCACTAGAAGCCACGCAAGCACGAGGCCGACCGTCCGCCCGCGCTCATATAAACGGCCCCTGTCGGGGCCACCACACATCGAACACGTGGGAATTTGCCTTTTCGCCCCACCCGACCGGACCGCCCCACCCCAAGCTAGTTGGAGGGGGCTGACCGACGGGTATATAAAGCGGCGCAGCCGAGACTTCGAGACCAGTCCCGTCCTGGTCTCTTGAGCGTACTCAAGGACCACTCCTCACCTCCTAACCATCCCGGGCGACGAGCGTTCTCGTCGCGTAAGCCGAGCGTCCTCGGTCACCGGATCCTCTCCGAACAGCACCCCGGTCGACGAGCGTTCTCGTCGGGCAGGCCGAGCATTCTCGGTCTCCGGATCCTCGCCGAACATCACCCCGGCCGACGAGCGTTCTCGTCGGGCAGGCCGAGCGTCCTCGGTCACCGGATCCTCTCCGAACATCACCCCGGCCGACGAGCGTTCTCGTCGGGTAGGCCGAGCGTCCTCGGTCACCGGATCCTCTCCGAACATCACCCCGGCCGACGAGCGTTCTCGTCGGGTAGGCCAAGCGTCCTCGGTCACCGGATCCTCTCCGAACAGCACCCCGGTCGACGAGCGTTCTCGTCGGGCAGGCCGAGCATTCTCGGTCTCCGGATCCTCTCCGAACATCACCCCGGTCGACGAGCGTTCTCGTCGGGCAGGCCGAGCGTCCTCGGTCACCGGATCCTCGCCGAACATCACCCCGGCCGACGAGCGTTCTCGTCGGGTAGGCCGAGCGTCCTCGGTCACCGGGTCCTCTCCGAACAGCACCCCGGTCGACGAGCGTTCTCGTCGGGCAGGCCGAGCATTCTCGGTCTCCGGATCCTCTCCGAACATCACCCCGGTCGACGAGCGTTCTCGTCGGGCAGGCCGAGCGTCCTCGGTCACCGGATCCTCTCCGAACATCACCCCGGCCGACGAGCGTTCTCGTCGGGAAGGCCGAGTTTCCTCGGTCGCCGGATCCTCCGAGAGCCACCGACACCTTGCGGAGCTCGCCCTTCTCAGGGCGCCCGAATCCAAGGCGGTTTACGGAGCTCGCCCTTTTCAGGGCGCTCGTATCCACGCCGCGTTGGGTAAATTTCGTCCGCCGCGTTATCATTTGTAAACCTTAGTTATATAAGTCGTGTCCGCGTCCGTATGATTTGGTCGCGTCGCGTTATTATTTGTAAACCTTTAGTTATAAGTCGTGCCCGCGTCCGTATGATTTGGTCGCGTTTCGTCCGTCGCGTTATTATTTGTAAACCTTAGTTATAAGTCGTGCCCGCGTCCGTATGATTTGGTCGCGTTTCGTCCGTTGCATTACTTGTATTCCTTAGTTATAAATCGTGTCCGCGTCCGTATAAGTTGGTCGCGGTCCGCACTTCCTGCGATTCTCCTCTGTACGCGTAGACTAGATAATAAGCCCACTCTTGCAGGGCGGCTTCAATAAACTCTGTTTTTACCAGAACGATTGGCGTGGTTATTGCGAACCTGAGTCTCCCCCCCCCCCTCTTCCCGAATCCTGGCACCGACGAGCCGATCCGTGGCGTCGGGAAAGGAGCCCCGTTACATATATATAAACCAATTTGTTGCAATATTTACTATAAAAGGTTGTAAGGGTAAGATGGCTAAAAGTGAATAATTTAAAAGATAGTTAACATAATTTTACATAAACTGAAATATTTCATAAAATAAAATATTTGTAATATTTCGAAGTTTATGTAAGATTATGTAAAAATTATACCTTTACAACTTTTTATAGTAAATATTGCGAGTTAAATCGATTTATATGAGAAAAATTAAGGTAATTCTATTTTGAAAATATAAGTGACCTTTAAATAACCTTGAAAATCGCCGTTTAGGAAAAAGTCTGTGTCAACTTTTTCTTTTTCGAAATCCTGCAACTTTTATCTAAATTTAATAGAAAATGTATAAAAAATGCTCGACATTAGTACACACACACACACACACATATACACACACACACACACATATACACACACACACACACATATGGGTAAATTTATATAAATAGGGTGCTTTAGGAGGAATGATCAGGATTCTAGGATATGATTGTACACATCATTTTAAGCAAAGAAGTTTAGATAAACATGTTTAATAATTGTTCTATTCCGGTCATAAAAATATACAAAAATGAATGATATAATCTCTAAAAACTCACCTTTAAAAAAAGGTAAAAAAAGGCGACCAGTTAAGGGCACGCCATTAACAAAAATTATCCATTGCAAACCCATGTAGAATCCTATCCTATTGCAAACCCATGTAGAATCCTATGAAAAATTAATCATTGCAAACCCATGTAGAATCCTAGGCAAAATTAACCATTGCAAACCCATGTAGAATCGTACCCATTGCAAACCTATGTAGAATCCTATGAAAAATTAACCATTGCAAACTCATGTAGAATCCTATGAAAAATTAACCATTGCAAACCCATGTAGAATTGTATTAAAAATTATCCATTGCAAACTTATGTAGAATCCTACATTGCAAACCCATGTACAATAGAATTGTATGAAAAATTATCGATTATAAACCCATGTACAATCGTAACAAAAGTAATGAAATAAAAAAAAAATTGCGCCAAGTGAAAGTAGAAACTTGTACCAGTGGAAAATTAAAGTTGCAGACATATATAGAGTCGTATAATGAATCAGTAAAAATTTAAATTTGCAAATGTAGAATCGTACCATAAAAAAACTTATCTTTTAAAAAGAAAGATAAACAAGATGCCAAGTCCATGCGCCATGTGAAAAAGAAATAAAAAAATTTTAGTTAAAAAAACTGGGAGCGCTGCTAAATAATATTCTAACAATATTAAAATTAAATTGTTACTTTTAAACTCATTACAGTTAAAATATGTTTTGTGTTTAAATTAATTAATGTTACTTTAAGGTGCATTGTAATTTTGAAACTTAGCAGCGCGCCCAGTTTTTTTAACTAAAATTTTTTTATTTCTTTTTCACATGACGCATGGACTTG